ATCGTTTCGATTCTACATGTTCAACGCCGTCGCTCTGATGATGATACGAGGTCGTGCCGTGTTCCCATACCGCGTTTTTATCGACGTGTATCACCGAGTCCGAAATCACGGCTGTCGTCGGCTGAAGATGAGGTGCGCCTAGTTTCTTTTCCGCAGCACTTTTTATATACGATGCAACAGTCAGCTAAAAAAACAATATATTATAGAGTCAAAGTGTATTTTTTAACGCTTGAGAAGGACTTCGTGCGTTTTAATTTTTAAATGCACTACTCAGCAATTCCAACAGAAAAAAGAAAAGTTCTGAAATGCAGTAAAAAAGTAGCAAATTATAAATGCCTGAACTGCAAATGTTTTGTGGGTTCTTTTGCGTTATCCAATACGTTTTATGGAATGATAAAACTTTTTTGTTAGCAGGCTACAGAAATGAAAAATTATTTCCGAATATGTGCCTGTATAACAATTCGAAAGGCTATTTTGAACAATGCCACCTGGATGTATCCATATATAATAAATTATCGGAACAGCGAATGTAACACTGACTACAATTATTGAATGTCTTCTCATCACTGGTTAAAAATCCTGGATAATCGAATCGATGGCAAGTTTATCAGATAGTGATCTGATATAATCAATATCATCATCATATCAACATAAGCATCGATATAAGATCAACATAAATATTCAACCCGAAATGAAGAAGCTCTAGAAATAATACAATACTTAACAAACTTGGATTCATGAAATTCTGGTTCGTAACATGTACGTTTACTTTTGAAGGGCACGGTTTTCTGAATTCTCGGGTAATCAAAATACCTGTACGAATATTCGAGGTTCTGCTGCATTCACAAATCACAACTCACTTATATATTTTATAATTTTTTATTTATGCAACTATTACCATGACTGAATTACAGATATTGAAGATTCAGTCAGGTGATAGGCACGTTCATACTTCAGCAGAATTCATCACTGTTGCCGTAAAATTGTGGAAATACTCACACTTTCTGTGGGAGGATGAGGCCAGGGCTGTTCATCTGAAGCAGGTGCCTTAATTGGTTTGAACCATTTTGGTGTTTGTGTCACGAAGCTGGGACGGTCAGATTTTTCGGGAATTTTCGGGGAGGAACTTAAAGCTTCTAATTTTGCAGTGATTTCTTGGACGGATAATTTCCTTTCTCGTTTTCCATCAAATATTTCCCTGCCTTCGGACGAAATCCAACGTTTCTTTGAAGTCTGCGGGAAATCTTCGATTCCACTCGAGGCTGATCCTGTGAAATCAGCAACCTAATGCGGAAATTTATCATGCAAAATATTAGAACTGCGATGCGTAGAAATCCATTTGAGCGCCGATATTTGAAAAAAAAGCATATTTGTTAGTCAAGAAGCCCCAAACCTCGCTAGAAAATGGTGATCGATATTGCTCGATGTGTGGCGCAGTGGTGCTAGTAGTTCGCTGTGTACAAGAAGCAGTTTTTTCGCAAGCGGAAGATAATCTCGGACGAACAGGTCGGAAGTGCTTGTCATCAGCATCACTGTCGTAGGCTGAATGCATCCATTTTGTGGCCGCTTTGCCGGAATATTTTTCCTCTCCCGAGGTATAACCTCCATCGC